TATATATATATATATAATGTGGCCAAGTAGATTAACATATATATAAAAATAATGTGGCCAAGTAGATTAACTTATTTATATGGGATTTCATCTAAGATTTTCCCAGTCTCCAGATGGGAGGGAAGTCAGATGAACCTGTGTACCACATGTGGGTTTGAGGGTATTGCCTGGAATAGGGGAATAGAAGCTGCCTGACTTGGAAGTTGGGAGGCAGAGGCTGATCTTGCTTCTTAGGTTTCCCTTGTTGTAGAAAATAGTGATGGCATGGCCACTTAATTAACTTTCATGAGATAAAATAGACCTCATGATAATAAGGTACAATGATAAAATGTACTCATTTAAAGTGTTTAATGAGTTTGTAACCATCACCATATCAAAATATCTAACTTTTCATCACTCCAGAAAGCTCCCTCATGCATCTTTGACACTGAATTTTTGACATTATGACTTATTGGAACCTTATATCTTCATAGCCATAAGTTAGAAGAAGAATTTGAATGGCTAAAGAAATCTGAAGTCTTATACTACAGTGTAGAAAAAAAGGGGAGTATAAGTTCCCAGCTCAAACACTATAATCCTTGGAGCATGAAATGTCACCAGCAACAGTTACAGAGAATGAAGGAGAATGCAAAGCATCGGAACCAGTACAGTATCCTTTGTTCATGGGACATCCCTATCTTGTTGGGGCGGGGAGGGAAAGTGTGGAGGGCTTGAAGAGAGTGGTTGGGTTTGTTAAGTCTTAATTGAATTTCCTCTATTGGGGTTGTGCCAGAATACTTCTGCGATGCTCATGGATAGGTATTGCTTCTCTTAGGGCTAGGGACTGGCCTCTGAGTGCAGGTGGTAGGGAATGAGGAATAAAGGGTTTCTGGGAATGAGGGATATCTCATGAAGGGGCCACCTTACATCAGGTGTACTTTAGATAGTCTAGGGAGGATGGCACAGAGCTGATCCCTGTTTGAAATTCCTGCAGAAGATTCTCAAATCTTCTTCAACTAAAGGGATTAAGTTAAGAGAAAACTAACCTTTCAGTTCCTGTTCACCAGTCTGGCAAATGAGCTATGCCAGGATCCTTCTTTTTTTTTTTTTTTTTTTTACCTTATGGGTTGAAAATCTTCAGAACTGAGGTTTTTTTTTTTTTTTAACTTTTATTAAGGAAAATATGTTAAAATAATGCATTGACAGAGTATTTCTCCACCCAGGTTTGTCAGTTAACCCACTTAAGTCAGTCTTGTGTCATGATTTTCTCTATTTACCCACTACCCTTCAAACCTGGACTTTTTGGTTGTGCTGGGGGATGGATGAAACCCAGGGCTTTATGCATGCTAGGCAAATACTCTATACCACTGAACTTTTTTTTTTTTTAAATATTTTTAGTTGTAGATGAACACAATACCTTTGTTTTTTCTGTTTGTTTTTATGTGGTGCTGAGGGTTGAACCCAGTGCCTCACACATGCCAGGCAAATGCTCTACCACCGAGCCCCAGCCCCAGCCCCAGCCCCTGGTTTTTAAATAGAAGATTTTTTCCACCTATACTCTTTTCAAAGCACATCTGAGCTATATAATTTCATCTGTGTGTACCTTAGCATGTATCTCTAAAAGAGAAGACTATTTTAACAGTTGAACACCATTTTCATTTCTTTTTTTTTTTTTTTCATTCTTAAGTTTTAGGTGGACACAATATCTTTATTTTACGTTTATGTGGTGCTGAGGATCAAACCCAGTGCCTTGTGCATGCTAGGCAAGCACTTCTACCACTGAGCCACAACCCCAGCACCCCCGCATTTTCATTTCTTAAAAATTGTTAATTCCTAACTATAAACTACCTAATTCATGTTCACATTTTTCTAATTGTCTTCAGTGAGTATGTTTTTATTGTTTGTTAGAATGGGAATTCACGTAAGTTGCATTGGATTGAAATGTTTTAAGTCTTTAAATACCACTCTCATTTTTTTCTTAGAAATTAATTAAATAATTCCTTCCTTCCTTTCTGTGCAACACAGGATCACTCTACCCCTGAGCTGTATGTAGACTTTTTGTTGTTGTAGATGGATATAATACCTTTTATTTATTTTTATGTGGTGCTAAGGGTCAAACTCAGTGCCTTCCATGCTAGGCAAGCGCTCTACCACTGAACTACAACCTCAGCCTCACTAGCTTTTTTATTTATTTATTTTTTAATTTGAGGTCATGTCTCACTAATTGTCCAGGTTGGCCTCTTAACTCTGGAGTGGCTGGTGTTATAGTCATGTGCCACCATGCCCCTGCTGCCTTTTTTTTTTTTTTTAATTTCTCATCAAAGAAACTGGGTCATAGGTTGGGGTTGTGGTTCAGTGGTAGAGCACTTACCTAGCACGTGTGAGGCACTGTTTTAATCCTTGGCGCCACATAAAAATAAATAAATAAATAATAAATAAATAAATGAATGAATAAATAAATAAAGGTATTGTGTCCATCTACAACTAAAAAATATATTTTAAAAAAAGAAAGAAATGATGTCTTACCAGCTGTGGTGGTGCACATCTGTAATCCCAGCAACTTTTCGAAGTCTAGAGCAATTCAGTGAGACCCTGTCTCTAATAAAATATAAAAAAGGGCTAGGGATGTGGCTAAGTGGTTAAATGCTCCTGCATTCAATCCCTATTACAAAAAAAAAAAAAAAGTGCTTCTAAAAGAGTTTTCTATGATCTGGGTTTTACTGATTGCATTCCTACATGTTTACTGTGTCCCCTCTGTTTCCACTGTTTTTTTTGTAATTTTTTTATTTTTTATTTTTAATGTGATGCTAATGATGGTAACCAGTGCTTCACAAGATGCAAGGCATGTGCTCTACCACTAAGCCATAACCCCAGCCCCTTCCACTGTTTTTTATTTTTTTGTTCTTTTTAGTTATACATGACAATATTTTATCATACATACATGGAGTATTACTTCCCTTTTTTTAGCTTTATTTTATTTATTTATTTGTTTATTCTTACATGGTGCTGAAGATGGAACCCAGTGCATCACGCACACAAGGAAAGTTCTCAACCACTGAGCTACAAATGCTAGCCCTACTTCCCATTTTTGTGGTTGTATGTGATGTGTAGTTACATTGGTCCTGTATTCATATATGATGTCTTCAGTAGGTGATGATTGGATCTAAAGGCTTGATTTAAAGAACTAAAGAACTGATTTGGTTTCAGTTCGTGGGAATGGGAGCAGTAATCCCCAAGAAATTATATTGTACATGTCCTTTGAGAAGCAGAGTCTTTCTCTTTGCCTTAGATCTAATTTTTCATTAGGTAGTTTTCTAATTTTGTTATTCACAAGTTGGAAACTTCCTAAAAAATACAATTTTTCCTCATCAATCTATGCTTGAGGTATGGTTTATATATTTGTGTTTTAATCCATTGCAGTTGTTACCTTTACCAAGTTTGACACAGTGGTGGTAGTCTATGATGGTTATCTTGCTTTCTAGTATGAAAAAGAGTCTAGGAAATGACCATGTATATTTCCTGCTCCAGATGTGAACTCAAACCATTCCCCTAAGGCAGGGATCAGTGAATCTTTTCAGTAAAGGGCCAAATAAATTTTTAGGTGTTGTGGGTCATATAGTTTGTCACAACTCTGCCACTATATATTTAAATGAACTAGTGTAGTTGTGTTCCAGTAAATATTTATTGTGACTCTAATTGAATATCATTCAATTTTCATGGATCATAAAGTATCATATTTATTTTGATCTCTTAAATGTAAAAACCACTACTAGCTCATAGATTGTACAACAATGTGCAGTGGACTGTAGTTTACCATTTCCTACTAAGGACCACTGGTTTCTATTAATGGGAAATAGACCATACTAGGGGTATTTATTATTTCTGGTCATTATTTCTAGACATTTTCTATGCACACAGCTTGGGAAATAGTTTTTTCAAGACAAATATTTTTTATGAATTTGTATTGATGTTTACAATTTATATCTAAGGCTGCAGGATTTACTGAGCTCATTCTATGTATAATTGAGGACAGTATGCTATTGTACTGTGATCCTACACATAGCTGAATTCAGGAAATCTTGTCTCCTAAGCCTGGAGCACCTCAGGCCTGTATCAAGTCTAGACACTAGCTGCTCTCATGCCAGTTCCCTAACAAGAAGTTCTTCTTAGCTCTTTAGTTAGCTGTGGGCGCTCTATATAGGAGACAGCACAATTAATGGAGCCTCCTGTGGGGTTAGGCTTCTTTGGGTCACTGCATTCACACACAGTTCCCTGTGCCAAAGTATAATATGTAGCACTTTCTCTTGGGGATATGGTTCTTAACCACTTAGAATTTATATTACTGGAGAACCTGACTTCCCGCTACGAGGTGCCTTGTGTCTTGGACCTTAAGATGGGCACACGCCAGCATGGTGATGATGCTTCAGAGGAGAAAGCAGCTAACCAGATCCGAAAATGTCAGCAGAGCACATCTGCAGTCATTGGTGTGCGTGTGTGTGGCATGCAGGTGAGTAGTGTGCTGGTGCAAGACAAGGGCTAGCTAGGGAATCCAGTAGCTGCTGCTTCCCCACTGTGGTGTAGTTTTATTTGTTCTAAAGATTTCAGAATGACCCTATATGAATTTGATGCTTTCTGGTTAAAAAGAAAGAAAGAAAAGAAAGCATGTATTTTATGTCTGGGTAATTTCTCTGAGACTGTCCTGATAGGCTGAGTCCAGAACCTATAGACAGGAGTAGAGAAAATTTAGACAAGAGGATTAGCCTGTCTCCACTGACCCAGATGGACAATAACTTAACCCAGGTCAGATGGCTGCATTGCAGGTTGATGCTGATCAGAGAAGACAGCAGCTCATGTGTGACTCGGTGTGCTTATTAACGAAGAATCAGATCTAGAGCCTGGTGCAATTGTACACAATTTGATCCCAGCTGTTCAGGAGACTGAGGCAGGAGAATTCCAAGTTTGAGCCAGCCTGCTCAACTTAGTGAGATCCTGTCTCAAAATTTTAAAAAGAGCGAAGAATGTATAATGGGATAATGCTTGCCTAGTATGCATCAAGTCCTGGGTTCAATCCCCAGTACTACAAAAGAAAAAATAGGAGCAGATCCCAGATGTCACATCACCATCACCTTCCCCCACCCCAGTGTCCAAGCCTCATCCACTGACTTGCTGATCTCCCCACAGGTATACCAGGCAGGCACTGGGCAGCTTATGTTCATGAACAAGTACCATGGGCGGAAACTATCAGTGCAGGGCTTCAAGGAAGCACTTTTCCAGTTCTTCCACAACGGTCGGTACCTGCGTCGAGAGCTCCTGGGCCCTGTGCTCAAGAAGCTGGCTGAGCTCAAGGCAGTGTTGGAACGACAGGAATCCTACCGCTTCTACTCAAGCTCCCTGTTGGTTATCTATGATGGCAAAGAGTGGCCTGAAGTGGCCCTGGACTCGGATGAGGAGGACTTGGAGGACCTGTCAGAGGAGTCAGCTGATGAGTCTGCTGGTGCCTATGCCTATAAGCCCATTGGTGCCAGCTCAGTGGATGTGCGCATGATCGACTTTGCTCATACCACTTGCAGGCTGTATGGCGAGGACAGTGTGGTGCATGAGGGCCAGGATGCTGGCTATATCTTTGGGCTCCAGAGCCTGATAGACATTGTTACAGAGATAAGTGAGGAGAGTGGAGAGTGAACTTGCTGGTTGCTCCAGTACTTGAGAGAGACTCTGTGTCCCAGACACAGCTGTGCTGCGTCAGGGAGGAGGCCAGTATGGCCAGGTAGGGGTCCCTGCAGCCTGGAGCTGATGTGCAGTGGCCTCTGTGAGCCCCAACCCGAGCCAGCTCCAGCTGCACTCGGAAGTCTTTATTTATTTTAACTATTTCTTCAACATTCCACATTTGATGATGCAGATACCTCTTTGTTCCCTGAGTGTAAATGTTCTAATACAGATCTTTTTGTTTATTGTATCCATGTTGTTCTTTTTTCCCAGGGCATGTAGCACCCCTCCTAAACCTCAGAAGCTTACCATGTGTTGTGACCTCTTCCCTGTCTCTGTAATATTTCTACCCCCCTGGCTATTTCTAACCCCCATGGATTCCAAAGTTACCACAGTGTCTTGGCTTGGTTTCAACCTAGCACCCTGAGGTCATCAAAAAAGAAACCTCTATAGACCTACCTACCTGCCTGATCTGTGCTGGCTCTCTCATTATCCCTACCTAGAAACTATACTTTTTGTTTGTTTGTTTGTTTGTTTTAATTACACATGACAGTACAATGACCTTGACATATCATACATTTGAATCAAATGGGGTATAATTTCTCATTTTTCTGAGTGTACAGGTTGCAGAATCACATTGGTCATATAGTCACGTATATACATACAGCAAAACCATTCTTTGACACCATACTCTGCCCCTATGTAGCAGCTTAAGCCAAAGTTAGGAAGCAGAGGCTCCAAATTTTAGGTCTAGCTTTTTTTTTTTTTTTTGTGATGGTGCTGGGGATTGAACCCAGGACCTTGTACATACGAGGCAAGCACTCTACCAGTATCCCCCGCCCCTAGGTTTAGCTCTTGTTCCCTCCTATGCCACTGGCAGCAACTAATAAGCTGAAGATTGTGATGTCAGATGTCCTGGATCCAATACTGGGGTTTGAAGTAACACTAGGCTGTGGTCCACTGGCAGCCATAGGCTGTGTGAAAAAGGGGCCTGGTGTTGGAGGTCACAATAAAAGGGGTTATGGGTAGGCTGATCCTCTTACCCACACCACCTGTCACTACTTCTACCCAGCCCTGGGCTCTACCGCAATTAACCAATCTCATCCCTCACAAAAGTTCAGGCAGTGAAGGGCTGGGGATAGCTCAGCTGGAAGAGTGTTTGCATTGTATGCACAAGGGCCTGGATTCAATCTTCCGCACCACAAAAAAAAAAAAAGTTCAGCCAGTGCAGTGTAGCCCCTAACTACTACTCCTCTGGGCTTGCAGGGCTCTGGGAGGAGGAGGAGGGTCCCTCTGAGGGAGCTTCTGGAATTGCAGAGCCCAATCGGGTGCAGAGAAGCCAGAGTCTGGTTGTCCGGTTCTAGTAGCTCTGTCCCTCACCTGAACTTTCCAGCCACCTCCTCTCCAAGACCCACTAGGCCTACTACCTCCACCATACCTAAAAACAGATCAGCTGCATACACTAGCCTTTTGTCCACACCTGCTCCCAGTGGAGAGTGTATCCCCAGAACCCTTTGGGGCACATTCCCTGAGCTTCTCAGGAACTAAGGAGGTTTGGGCTGACTGTTGGATGGGTCAAACATTCTTTACAGCCATATGGCATTCCACTCCCCACCTTCTTCCAGCTCTCCTGTCTGCCCTCAGAAAGGGGCATCCGAAGTAAGATAATCTGAGGGTTTAAGTCCTATAAATAAAAAAGTAAGATGATAGCGATTGATAGTGGCGGGAGCTTGACTACTCAGGGTGGTGGGGCAGGGAGAGCAAAGATGGGAGGACTTTGAACAAGGATATAGTCCGAAGTGATTTCTACTCTCATATGCCCCATCCTCACACTTCCTGAAACCTATAATGAAAGCACCTTGTCCAAGTTACCATCTTTACAGTTAGTAGGTCAGTACCCACTTGCCCCGGACAGTCAGGGTACACAGCCGAACACATCTTCATCAGGATGTAGGAAGGGCCGCAGCGTTGGGATTTGAGCGAAATGGGAGTCCAAGGGCGTATGAGAGAAGCCGAGGCCGGGGCTTTGGATGACGGGGCCGGGGCCATGTATCGATGGCCCTGAATCTTAAGAGGTACGCTGCAGAGAAAGTAGTCTCTTGAGCCCCTCCTCGCCGCGTCTCTGGGGCCGACAGGAGGCGCCCGCGCCACTGCGTGGGTTTTCACTCGGGGCGGGGCTGCGGAGGGCGGGCGCGCGCGCGCACGCACGCGTTGAGTGTCACGGGGCGTGGCGAGCACGGCGCGGCACTGCCGGGCCTGGTGTCCTAGCTCAGCAGTTCCCGCCGCTTACCTTGCACCGGCGCGGCCCAACTCGGCCCCATGTACCGTGCGCTGTACGCGTTCCGTTCGGCGGAGCCCAATGCGTTAGCGTTCGCCGCGGGCGAGACCTTCCTGGTCCTGGAGCGTAGCAGCGCGCACTGGTGGCTAGCGGCGCGGGCGCGCAGTGGCGAGACAGGCTACGTGCCGCCTGCCTACCTGCATCGCCTGCAGGTGAGTGCCCCTCCCCTGCCCGCTTTAGTGGCCTTTGAGACTGGGCCCTTTCACAGGCTGGTAGAACCGACCCAGGGGCTCCAGATCCTTCAGGGCTCGAGGAGACAGGGAATTTTGAGAACCTGACCCTGAGACCTAAGACCCATGAAGACTGGGACTTCTAGGGTCAGCAATCCCTGCAAGAGACTAGATAGACCCTTGACATCTTAGTCGAGACTTACCAAAAGCTTAAGCTACTAAAAGCTTAACTCTGGGACTGATACTCATTGGGACCCCAGATTCCCCATGCATATTCCCCGGTATGGAGACCTCCATCTGAATAGAATTCTACAGCTAGACTCAGAAACTCCTATCCAATTAGCAAATTCCTGAGACCCCCCACACACACACACCCTTAATATACCACTTCCCTGGATCTCTAGAATTCCTGCACTCTTCCTTCCCCACCCCCCACCTCCTCCACCTATTGGAGCCACTACCTTTACCACTGAGACCCTCTTCACCTCACTACTGAGACTGAGCCACCTTAGAATACCACTGGTTCCCCAACCATCCTCCAGGCCCTCAATCCCCTCCCATTTGAAACCTGGAGTCATGATCACTCCCATCTCCTAGGTGCCTCCCAAACCTTGGATCTCAGAGTATTTCACTTTCCTGTACTCAGTCACCCTCTAAACTCTTTTCAAGACACCCCTCCCCCTTTCTGAACACTCTCTGAACCAAGAACCAAGCTCTTGTTAACACTACCTGGCAGTGCCTCCTCACAAGCTTCAGGCCCTGACTTAGACTTCCTCTGAAATTGAGGGAGCTTGTTCCTCCTGTCCCCAGCCAAGAATAGGGGCTGTTCCCATTGTAAGGAAATGAATTCTCCTGACTTCCCCTGGTCTGACCATGCCCCATTTTCTTCCAGTGTAGGTAGGCTGCAGTCCCAGTTCCTGTTCCCTCAAGAGTAGCCCTGTTGCAGGGACTGGGGTGTAGTGTCTCTGGCTGGTATGTTATGACCACAGTGGGAAGGAAGGTGCTGAGACACCTAGCCTGTGTCAGACACTCCTGTCCTGTCCTAGTCCCTAGCCTTTAGGAAATAAACTGTGCCAGCCCAGTTCAAGACAGAAATAATGGGATAAATTTGGAAATGTCATCTGGTCTTACCAGAGAGGATGGGCCTTGGGCCTTAGAGGTTTTCTCACAGATGGGGTTGGTTGATTCCATCTAGCTATCTTGTGGTGAGAATAGGGAGCCCTACTAGGTCTGGAGTGTGTCAGACTCAGCCTCTTTTGGAGATGGGATCTCATTGGAGGCCTCTGTGGAAGTCCTGCCTCTTCCCCACAGGGCATAGGTCAAGGGCTTGTAAAGCCTCTGCCTAAGCCAGGACCAGTGGGGCTGGTTGTTTGGGGAGAGCAGAGAGGCAACCATCTTCTCTGTCACTATCTCTCAGTTTCTTTCTGCATATTCCCTGTGTCTCAGTTTCCCTGACTGTGCATCTCTGTCTCATTCTGACTCTCCATTTGGGTGTTTTCCTTTCTTCCTCCAATTCTCCCAGTCTGTTTCTGACTCTCAGTTTTCCTGCTTTATTTCCTTCTGCCTGCCTCTGAGTCTGTCTCTCTCTCTAGGTCTGTCTTACTTTCTGTGTGTTTGTGTGTTCTCTTTCTATTCCTCCTTCCTTCTCTTGTATACCTGTTCCCTGGTATGCCCCATGCCACCTCAGGGGCTTTGCTGACCTTTACGTCCATCTGTCTCCATCAGAGAAGTTTCCCAAACCCACTGTGAGGAGCTCTGTGGCTCCTTTGTAGCCTGCTGCACCATGTGTCTAGGGATAGGGAAGGGGTAGGGATAGCTGATCCCACACCACACTTATAACATGCAGTGAGGTAGAACAGATTCCTGGGTTGTTAGGCATAACAACACAGGGCCTAGAGCAGGGTCTAGGCTCATTTCTAATGTCCTTCCTTTACCACAAACCCAGAGCCACTTCCCAGGGCAGGTACAAAAAATTACTGGGTCAGCTTGGGAGGATGAGGGCTGATAAGCAGGGATGGGGAGAGGAGGTTCCTTTGGTCTATTCTTTGCTCTCAGGGCCTGTGAAGGTCTGTGTGAGGATAAGGCTGTTGTGGGGTGTGACCTTGGTTTTGTGAAGGGTCAGCAAGATCAGAATGACTTATTAAGGATTCCAGACACTGGAGGTTTCCTGCTTGGCATCTCAGTCTGGGGCTCTGAGCCAAGCCCAGGAATAGACTGTGTATATACTCCTGGTCACAAGCTGGGAACCCCTGGGCTATGGTTTTGCTTTAGGTTCATGGTTTTGAGGCATCTTAGCTAAGATCCTCAATATGTAAGCTGGTTTAGGGTCACCTGGTACCCCAGTTTGCTGAGTAGTGCAGTCTGAGAACCCCATTCCATAGTCCAGTTTTGGTCTCTGCTCTTGTCTGTCATTCTAGATTTCAGCTGTAGTGGTCCTCCACCTGGGTTCCATCCTGGGCCAAGTCTGGATTAAGTATCCCCACTTGAGCTCCAGGTTTAACTGATCACCACTACCCACTTTTAGGGCCTGGAACAGGATGTCCTCCAGGCCATTGACCGGGCCATTGAGGCTGTGCACAATACAGCCATGCGAGATGGTGGCAAGTACAGCCTGGAACAGCGTGGAGTCCTCCAGTGAGTGTGGGGAAGTGGGGGTGGATCCTCCCATGAGCATGGAAGGGTGGGGTCCTTAAGTGCGGATCAGAGATGTGTAGAGTCAGGACTGGGGATAGTATGGAATAT